TGTTTGTTTTTAACCAGGCTTTGTTTCTCAAGTTCCACTTCCTCTCCTTGCTAGTTATGTAACTTATGTCACTGTAGGCAAACCATTTAATTAAAGCCTCAACTTCCTCATCAGTCACATAGAGATAAGGATCTCTAACTAATTTATAGTGCTATGGAGGCTTAAGAGACATAATCCAGGTGCAAGCCTTTGTAAACTATCTATTTTCTCATCAGTATGTTTTCAGTGAATCCCTCCTATGTGCCAAGCACTGTCCTCTGTACCGACATAAACAAAGTCCTTGCTTTATGATGAAAAGCTCAGTTCTGGAGGTGTGAAAATAAAGAAAAATATCAGAGAAATAAAGAGTGATCATGAGTGACTGGGGAGCTGCTTTAGATGGGGAAGGTCTCTCTAAGGAAGTGACCAAGCAGCTGAGTGCGAAGGACAAGAAGGAGCCAGGTGTACAAAGATCAGCGGAAAGAGCATTCCAGGCCTTTCCACTCAAGAAGCAGAAAAGGCAGGCAGGGCCAGATCATGAAGCTCCGTGAGCCAGGGTGAGGAATTTGCATTCTACTCCAAGTACTCAGGAAGCCAGTGGAGAGGGCCGGTAGGAAGTAACGAAATCTGATTTACACTTTTTAAAGATCCCTCTGGCCACTACGTGAAGAATCAATTGTGGGGCAAGAGTGGACATAGGGAGACCAGTCAGGAAGCAACTGCAGTCTTCCAGACAAAAGATGGTAGTTGCCCAGACTGGGCTTGCAGCAGTGGAGACAAAATGAGGTGGTCCAACATAAGATACGCTTTGGAGGTAAAGTTGACAGGTTCTACTGGTGACTGGTGACAAGGCAATGAGGAGAGGAAGAAGAAAGAATTAAGGATAAATTCTAGATTTACAGCTTGAACAACTGACTGGGTGGTGGTGGCGGTGTGCTGTGATGGAGAAAATGCAGGCAATTAGGTATCTGAGACAGGAGTTCCAGGGGCAGGGCAGAATCAAGAATGGGGATTTGAGAGTCCCTGGCATGTAGATGGCATTGAAAATCATGAGCCTAGATGAGATCAGCTAGCAAGGCGCGTACATAGAAAAGAGAAACGGGTCCAAGATCAAGTCCCGGAGCAATCCACACTCAGCCATCAAACAGCAAAGGAGGGCCAACCCCGCGGCTTAGCGGTTAAGTTCGGATCCCGGGTGCGCACCGAGGCCCCGCTTGTCCAGCCATGCTGAGGCCATGTCCCACATACAGCAACTAGAAGGATGTGCAACTACGACATACAACTATCTACTGGGGCTTTGGGGAAAAAAAGGAGGAGGACTGGCAATAGATGTTAGCTCAGGGCCAGTCTTCCTCAGCAAAAAGAGGAGGATTAGCATGGATGTTAGCTCAGAGCTGACCTTCCTCAAAAAAAAAAAAAAAAAAAACAACAGCAAAGGAGTCTGAGGAAGAGCGATTAGAGACCTCAGAGGAAGAAGTGAAGTTCTGGGAAGACACAGAATCAAGTGAGGAAAGAGTTTCATGAAGGAGGGAGTGGTCCACTGTGGAATGCTGCTGGGAGATCGAATAAGATAATGACAGAGAAGTGACCTTTATATTTAGCAACAAATTATGGCCATGTTGGGGGTGGTTTCAGAGCCCAGGAAGGGAGCCTAACTGGAGTAGACTGCTAGACGGTGCAAGGTAAGGAATCTATAGAGGGAGTAACGTTGGATTATAAAGTATTACTATTTACCCTTTTTTGGTCCATATATTAGTTTAATGTATCTACTTGGCTTCCTCCGTGGTTTATTTGAAGTGCAGTTTACAAAGCAAGGCAACTAAGCCTAGAGACTGGTTTGGGAAATGGCTTCATCGTTTTATAGCTACATCTTCTACACACATGTAGGTATAGTGTGTCTGTCGATGGTTTTCTTTCAGAGAAATAGCTCTCAAGCTTCCGTGATTCCATTCCATATGTGCAAGGCAAAAGATCCATCCAATTATCCCCACATGCCCACTTTCCAATGGGAAAATGAACTCTGTGACAACTATAAAGTATCACAGTAAAACACAAATGGGGGAGATATATACACATCTGTTTCAGCCATAGGTCTATGAATGACTCATTTTGAACTGTAATTCATGTAATTTAGTTATTTGAAAATTACAAGACAAAAATGCTATTGATGCATATACGTATCATTCACCATACACAGAGGAATTAACCAAACAACAAACTAATTTTATAGTAACAGTATTAAATTAACAGTAACTTAGTAATTAAAACGCAAAAATAGTGGCATTTGAAAACCAGGACTGGTTCAAAACAAAGACTATGGGAATCCCCACTGAGAGTGGGCATGTGCTGTAGCTCTATAAGGATGCCAAATGTTGAGTGGTAGAAAACATTTTGGCGTCATCAGTCAACTTCAGTAAAGATGTCAATTTCAGGAATCCTTAACAACTCCACCAAATAGGACACCAGAAGGTAACCACTAATATATACACAAAATAAACATACATGGATCTGTACATCAATCACAGGAAGGAGCAGACTTCAGTTAGAGCAGTCAACAGCCAGGCCGGCCCCGTGGCTTAGCGGTTAAGTGCGCGCGCTCCGCTGCTGGCGGCCCGGGTTCGGATCCTGGGCGCACACCGACGCACCGCTTCTCCAGCCATGCCTAGGCCGCGTCCCACATACAGCAACTAGAAGGATGTGCAACTATGACATACAACTATCTACCTGGGCTTTGGGGGAAAAATAAATTAATTAAAAAAAAAAAATTCTTAAAAAAAAAGAGCAGTCAACAGCCCACCAAGAAAAGTGGTCTGTGTAGGTCCTAGTACAGGACAACTGGGCCCACACGTGTTGCTTTACAAAGATGCTGCTCCATCAGACTGCTAGAGGCCACCTCCAGCACAGGGAGACAATCTGGCCTGAAAGCCTGTGTGCTCAAGATTCCTCGAGTCAGAGCAGCTGCCTGGAGCTGCCATATTACAGCAGAAGTCACACACGGGTAACCCACCGGCCAGAACCAACCCCACAAACTGGGTTTGTTTGGCCTACAGTGTTGGACTACTTTGTGTTTGTAATATCTGAATTAGTGCCAATATTTTAAAATTGAAAGACTTCACATTAAAAAAAAAAAAAAAAGTTTTCTGGCTTCTCAAAGAAAAAGAGAGCAAGAGAAAGGGAGAGAAATCTGGCCGAGGCCCAGCTGCCCCTTTAGCTGCTTCGGCATGTGCTCGTCAGAGCCCTGCTGTTCACACCCTCCAGAAAATCACACACGAATCAAATGTCGGCTTTGAACCTGTGCCATTATTCTTCTTATATCCTGCCTGTTTCATTCATTTATGCTACCTTCCAACTCTTAGCATCACTGGAATTTGCAACCTTCATCCTAGTTGGGTGTACCTAAAAGGTACCCCCAGGGTCTAACCAGGGGAAAGAGTCTCCAAAGACTGTGAAGATGCCATGCTCTCACAAACTTAACTAAAAACATTAGCTGCTGATTCTCTTCTTTATTCAACAACTTGCAAAGGTCATATACAGCAAACTTTCTCCCTTGGCTCTTTTCTAAGTAGTAATCTCAGTAATTACTCAGACTCATAGAACTTTTCTTTCTCTTAACCTATGAAGAGCTTATCAGGGAATGTTGATCATTAACAAATTAATGCTTTAATTAAAAGGTCAAAAATATATCCATTAATCAGTTTTGGACAGTTTGAGCATGGGTTTAGGGTAGCAGAGGGAATCACATTTCAAAAGAAAAAAAAATGCCCTCCTAATAGAATGAAAAAAAAATTAGATGGTTACTTTAAAATAAATTTCTTTTCATATATGCATAGCAACCACAAAAGTTTTGAACTATATAATCTGTACTCAAGATGTCCATAAGACAGACTTTATACAATCTCTTCCAATGATCACCTCTTTTACTCCTTAAACTACTTTTGGAGGAAACAAATTTTCCTAACCTTTTAAAAGTAAGCCAAATCACTAACTGAAGCACTGGTTACTAGTGACTAACTAGAATTACCATAGAGTAATCTTATATATGTCCAACATCATATAATAAAAACAATAATCTTACATAAACATATTCATAAGCCCAGAGCAATCACACTGTACTGTAACACCAATTACCCCTCTGATACCACTAAAACGTTCAAATAAATAAAGACAGTTTTGAAGGAGAAAATAATTCATAAAAAGACAAATTATAAGTGTGCATAGACGAGATAGCTCCGCTCTTTTGGAGAACAGGAAATAGATGGTGGTTGATTAAGCGAAGATTCAACAAAATTGGCTGTTTTCCTTCCTACTAGCTGTTTGTGAGTCACTGTCCACACTCCAACACCATGGGGACCTCCTAAAAGCTGGATTCAAATTCCAACCCATTATACTCTCACTCCACTACGGGAGTGAGAGATTGGAGAAATTCTGTCTCCAAGTTATAGCAACATAACACAACATAAAAGGAGGAAAGTCTGGATTCAAGACAAATTGTTTAGAAGGCTAGATAAAGTTCATTGTAACTTTAAAACAACTTTGCATTAATTTGTTACTAGCTAAACATTTGTCAGTAATCTCGTTTCCTAGCATGCTATATTAGACTTCTGCACTTCACCTAGCATGGACAAAAAAAGTAAACTAACCACAAAAGTAGACTAACCACGTGGACACAAGTATTATATCTTAAGTTGTCTTTCCTCCACGTGTTAACAGCACTAAGTGTATCAAAGAGCGTGTAAATACTTGCAGTGCGGTATTTTCGAACTTACTTAACCTTTATTATCTGAATTAGAACTAAGTTTGAACGGAATTAACACTATCCAGTGAATAACTACTAACCAAAACACGCTTTTCCATTTACAGCCAAAAACTGGAGTCTGAAATGGTTTTTGTGCTTTTTAGTTAACTTGCAACATGTGGCTGGGAAAAATATCGCCGCTTTCCCAAGGACACTCTTCTAACTCCGAACTTTCTTCCGTGAAAAGACTACCAGGTTCCAAGGGGCGCAGTTGGAATCCACTTACCCGATCCTTCATCCTCCAGCTCTGAGCTAAGGATTTGGAGCCTTCAATTTTCTCACAGTGCCTCTTTTTCATAAAAGCCAAAGGCAGGTTCCAGTCTGTAAGGTCGGCCTCATCTTCCTCCCCGAGTCCCAGAAGAGGCGACTGCAGCATCTCGGACTCCATCAGCGGGGGAGGGGGTGGTGGAGTCCTTGGCAGCAAGCGCTCGAGAACCTCCAGCCTTAAAAACTAGCGTATACCAGAATCGGTGAAATAACAGAAAAAGAGGGAGTAGAAAAAGAAATGAGAGTATGCGGAGACCCTTATTCAGGCAAAAAGTGTGAGATCCTTCTCTTTAACTCTGCGCGGGAAGTCGGAGGGGCTGGGAAAAGCTGGAGGGAAATGGGGCAGCCCAAGGAGCTCCGCACGTACACACACGCCCCCAGATCCCAAGCCACTGGCTGCTTCTGAGGCTGTACGTCCCCGGAGGGGCTGCGAGCGGAGCTGTCAAAGGCGTGTGAGACTCCAGGCCTCACGATGACCCTGCTCTCGGCCTCCAACGCCTCAGCCGATTCGAGGACAGGCAGGCCGCCCGCTCTTGGTGCCGGTTCGCCGACTGGGCTGAGGTATCCGGCCGAGGGGAAGAAGTTCAGAGCGCCTCGGGTCTCCTCCAGCCACTCTCAGCCCTGTGGGTCCCGCAATCGCCGGAGCTGCTGCAACCAGAGCCAGGACCGGCCCATCGTGCTCGCCCGCAGCCGGCTCCTCAGCCCCAGGTCCGCGCGGTCTCGCCGGTCCTGGCCTTCGGCCCCGTGGCTCCCTCCTGCCCGAGAACGAGTCCTGAGAAACGAGCGACCTGGAGCCGCGGAGAAAACGAGTAATGTAGGCTTACTGGGTTTGGGGAGTTTTGCCCTCTGGTTTGAAGCTACAGTGAAACTTCTCTCATCAGCACATCAAGGAGGACGCCATATTGCCAAGACCCGGCATGCATCGCGATCTACGGCGTGGCTAACAGGCCAACCTTCCTCAGAGCGTTCTGGCCGCGCTTCCCAGGATGCGGCGAGAGAAGTCCCCGTCCCCCGTTACCATGGCTGCCACAATCTAGCTTTCCAGAGTTTGTCGCCATTCGTTCAATAGATCCATAATATCAAAGTCAATCCTACAAATGAAACTATATTCATTTAATTAATTTTGATAAAATCTTTTTATTATTACAAATGGACCTACATGCTTCTGAAATTAAAGGAATCAAGCCTCTTGTTTCTTCCAGACTTTGAAAAGGCAGGAAAAGCTTCAGAAAGAATCATTGATAATATTACAAAAAAAGATAGAGTTGTGGGTTGTTTTGCACGTAGTATCCTCTACAGTATCAATCAGATTTTGATTTTTTCAGGGAACACCAAGTGAAAATTTTAATTTCAATGATTACAATTTTTTGTTTAATCCACCTTATTTTCTCAGCAGTTGATTTTTGTTTTGAGATAGCTTCATGTGTAAACAACTAAAACCTGCGGATTTCTATGCGTGGAGGCATGCCTCCTGCGTTTTTTCTCTATTCGGTAAACACTGCTAATTTACAATGTGTGGAGAACTGTGTCCAGTGCAAGAGGGATTATAAAACCGAATGAATGCAGCATGCAGTGCCTGCCTTCAATAAACTTAGTATCCAGTGAAATGCACGTGTGACCTTTAGATAAAGCCAAGCAGGGCCAAAGAGGCTCGCCTTCCTCTCTGCATTTGGGCTTTGGTGTCAGGCACACCTGGTTCTGAATCTCAGCTGTATCCTTTCCATCTCTGTGACCTTGGTCAATCCCTTAATTAGCTCAGTCTCAATTTCCTCAGCTATAAATCTAGGGTAATAATACCCACCTTGAAGGACAAAATTAACCCGTGAAGGTGCCTAGTATATAGCGAGCGCCAAATACAATGCTAGCAGTGATGGTTCTGTAGCCATTGAAACTTAGCAACCCTATGCGCTTTATTAATCTAAAACCTCAGGTTGGGCTCTAGAAGATACTGTTTCTCACTGTGGTTTAACAGGGCTTTGACACAAGGGGCAGTCCATATCAAAATCCTGATAGCATTTGTGTTCCTTTCAACATCCAAGTGAATAGTGCAATCCCAGATCTTTCCCACCTAGCACATAGCAAGTGTTTAATAAAAGTTCTTGGGTTAAATAATTATCATCCCAAACATTCAGTTATTACATCGCAGTGGACCCAATTCTCCCACTAAAACTCAGAGCAAATTCATCAAAACACAGATGGAGGCTAAAACCTTGCTTTTCCCTGCCTTCTGTATTGGCAAAATATCCCCACAGTGACCAGCAGAGGCTGTGGGACTGCAGGGTCCTGAGAAGACCCTATTCTCACCTGAAGTCAATAACATAACTCCTGTTGCTGCCTTGTCACCCCTGCAGCACACAGCAGTGAAGACCATGATCCCCTGGGCTGCAGAGAACCTTGCTCCAGGCACTCTCGCAGGAAGCCACAGCTACAGAAAAGCAACAGCCTTAAACCCGCTCGTTCCTAACTAGCTCTGTGACCTGGGAAAACCCACTTAATTTGTGTGAGACTCAGTTTCCTCACCTGTAAAGTGTGTGTCACCTTGGGAAATCCACTCACCTTGTCTGATATTCCAAGTGAAAGGAGTAAAGGAGCCCATGGAACCCGAACCTGGCAGGTCATCAGAATCACCTGGGAAACTAAAACTAAAGATGCCCAGGTCCCACCCCAGACCTACTGAACCACAGGGAGTGGGAAGACAGGCATTCAGGATCTATATTTTTTAGTCAGGTAACCTTGATGACAGCTTAACATCAGCCAGATTTGGGAATATTGGACAATAGTCTCTCTAGGGATATTAGACAATATTCTCCTCCAATGATTCCATTCCGGCCACATGGTGAGCCCTCAATTAATATTTGTACTGAATAAATGAATACTATAAAGCAATTATGCAATCTTCCATCTAATAAATCAGAACAAGACTCACCCTCTCCCCCAAACTACAGAACAAAACACACCCTCTACTGTTTTACAATGTGACCCCAGAACCAAGCGGCCATTTGGGGTCCATGTCCTGAACTGAGGGTCAGCATACACATATTCCAGTCCCCAGCCCACCACCAAATCCTGCAGACATGGGCAACACCTCTGCCCTTCTCTATCTTCAGTCTCCACATCTGTAACAGGAGGAACTTGAAGAAGGTGAATCTCTAAGGACACTTCAGGTTCAAAGTTCTGTGATTCATGTAAAAACCAGAAAGGGGCTGGTGACAGCCCAGCTCCCAACTAGAAGTTTCAAGATTGAGCTTGAATCATTTCACGGCATCATGACATTTAAAAGAAACCTCATTCTAGTGTGTCCTGGATGACTGTATTCAAGTCCCAGATAAGCATTTGGTGCGCACCAGGATCCAAACCGGGGAACCCCGGGCCGCCGCAGCGGAGCACACAGCGCACTTAACCGTTTGCGCCACTGGGCTGGCCCCCCAGATAAGCATTTGGAAGTGTAGCTCCAGGTTTCTGGAGGGCAGTGAGCATCTGTGACTAATGATAGGCTGGAAAATCAAGGGTTAATATTTCTCACCTGGGTGATCTCATTACCACGCTGTGTGATCTGCTGGCCACTTGGGCCTGCAGTTCCGATTTCCAATGTCTCCAGTTCTTCACAAGCAAGGACAGCTCCTGCTTTCCACAAAACCTCTAAATAAAATAATTTAATCTAGAAAAGAAGTTTTATGAATTTCAAAAAATGCACAAAACCTGGTCTGATTTTCAAATTATGAAAATGGGGGAGGGTGTTGATGCCCTCCTGGTGGTGAACACCAGGCTGCAGATGTAGAACTAGAAGAGAGGAAGGGCTTTAAGGGCCAGCTCTGATCTGAAACAGCAGAACAATTTTTGACCTGCCAGTACAGAGAGGCGGGGACCTGTTCCTGAAATGTGAAGGAGACCATATGGCCCTTTCCAGCCCTAAAACTTTGGCTATTTGGCAAAGATAAAGCAAAGTAAGCAGAGAATGAATATAAAAACCTAAGAGTGTTGGACAAATACAACAGAAATTGGGGTAAACGTGGCGGGGGGAATTGGGGCAGGGAGAGGGTCTGAATAAATGCCTTGGGTACCGAGCATGTTGCCCAGGAAGAACTATGGTGGCTGGATTTTCACAGCTTCCAAGCTCAGCTGTTGGCCCACCCGCAACCGACCTTATCTTCTCTCAAAACACAAGACCATCACAGCCAAGGTATTCCATTTGCAGGCAGGACCGGCTGCGTTCCGTCCTCCTCCAATCTTGCAGTTTCTCTGCTAAATCAATCAAGGGCATTCGATGTGTTTTGTCATCAAGAATCAGGAGCGAGACTGGAGGTCAAGCAACTGGAGAAAACCAGGTGCTTCGCTGAGCTATTGTTTTCCACACAGGGAGACCAGCCAGCTCCGTTCTTTCCAGAGAAATCTGTGCTTAGCTTAAAAGAAACCAAAATAGATATAAAGTACTTTGCTTTTGTCTGAGCATCATTACTTCTGTTTTTAGCAAATTCCAAGCCACCCCCCTCTGCAGGTCAGATGTTTTGTTGACAGTGAAGTGAGGAGAGGAAAGAAAGGGAAATAACAGGCCTCAACGAGTCTGCCTCCCTCTCCTCCCATTTCATCCATCTAAAAATATAGTGATATTTGTGTACGTGATTGTCACCCCTACGGTATACCTTTCTATTTTATTTATAATTTTTTTTTACACTGAGCATGTATGGTTCTGATAAGCAGAAACAAACAACAATGTTATTCCATTTTAAAAAGGGGGTGACCCCTGAGGAGCATGGGACTATAGTAAAAAGCACCGCTCATTAAATTAACTTCACCCACTATCCACAGTTCTTTCAGAATTGAGAATTTTGCATAGCCTCAGCCTTAAAGAGCCGGCCGCAAGGCAGAGCCCATCAGGAAACGCACAAGGTAAGAGAACAGAGTGGAGTCTTCACAGGACTGTGCCTGCACCCCTAGCCCTCTCCTCCCCGCTCAGACGGCTGTTCTGTGTAGGGCAGTGAAGAGCCTGCTGGGGAGCCTAGAATTTGGAGCAAGGTGGGGAGTGACGGAGCTGAAGCAAAAGTGCTCCAGGCCCAGTTCCCAGTGAGCCTGGCTTCCGGCACAGGCCCTCCGAGTGGTCAGTCTGGATGGCCTGGTGCACCCAGCTCCATACCTTCACTGGATCAGACACCGATGTCCACGGCCCTCGGGAATTCTTTGTGGAGAGGGAACGCAGGCCAGTGTCTCTCCCAGGTCACAAGTTCCATTAGAGTGAGGACCCTCCTTCCTCCCCCAGGACCCTGGAGGTAGAATTCACTGAGAAGTGGTCTACGCCCAGTGCAGACAAAGCGTTTAAAAAGAAAAGAAAAGGAAAGCTTTTATGATAGAGACTATATTGAGAAAATTTGTTATCCAATAAAAAATACGCAAACAGGGGCCGGCCCCGTGGCTTGGTGGTTAAGTGAGCGCGCTCCACTGCTGGCGACCCGGGTTCGGATCCCGGGCTCCCACCGACGCGCTGCTTCTCCGGCCATGCTGAGGCCGCGTCCCACATGCAGCAACTAGAGGATGTGCAGCTATGACACACAACTATCTACTGGGGCTTTGGGGGGAAAAAATAAATAAATAAAATCTTTAAAAAAAAAAAAAATACGCAAACTGAATTTTATAATCTTTTATTTTAATAGCATTGCCTACAATAAGATTCTACCTTTATGAAAATACAAATAATATAACCAGCTGTCTCGTTTTAAACTCCTCATTTGTGATTTTATATAATATTCACATCTCATCAATGATTCTCAGGTTCTCAGAGAACACGAGGTCCTGGGGGAGCCCAGGCCAGCACAGCCATTGCCTCTGCCTTAATAAGGCGGATTAGAGACTGTGCCTGTAACTAAAATAGTATAATCCGGAGAGTGAATGTTTGCAGTGAGCCAAGCCCTTTTCATGAGAATTAACTC